ATCTTATCACGACTACCGCAGTAGTTTTGAGCCCTAGCACCACTTGGCGCCATTGGACGCTGATTCACCCCACACCCTTTTTTACCGGAATCGATAAAAACCTGCATAATAGGGTTGTTTGATGCCCTGATCACGAATATGACATTTATTTTTCGACACCAGCGCCATTTAGCGCTCTTCTAAGGCTGAGCCTGGGAGAAGGAGTGATTCCCTGTAGGCCAGGCTCAGCCTTAGCAGAGCGCAGATGATCGTAGTGTCTTCCATCAGCGCCAGCGCCAAAAATGAATGTGATATTTGTAATCAAGATGTCAAATAACCTCCGTATACAAGTTTTCAGCGGATTTGGTGACCTAGGGTATTTTGGCGCAGGCGGTCTCAGGCCGAGCGGATGTGATATTCGTGTTCAGGAGGTCAAACTACCCCTGGGTACAAGTTTTCAGCGGATTTGGTGATTTAGGGTTTTTGGCGCCGGCGCCTGTGGCGCGGGCGCCAGGCACTTTCAGGCCAAGTGGATGTGATATTCGTGTTCAGGAGGTCGAATTACCCCTAGAACCCAACTTTCAGCCAAATCTGCCCCCGTAGAAAAAGTCGATCAAAATCGGCATGCTCCTGAAAACTGGGGTAGTAATAGTTGAATAGTGCCGATTTTGGAATCGGGCGCCATAAGGAGAAGTGCGCTGCTCAAATTTATCCTAGGCCGGTCCAATAGTTGCACATAATGGTGTTCTCTATACGGAATGTGCATGATCCTGTTCAGAGTTCCAAAGAAGAAGGAATGAGAAAAAGTTGTAGCCGAGGTGGGCGCCACGTGCATTTACACAGAATGAAGTAGGGGTCAAAGCTACTCAATAAATAAATACTACGCTTGGACACCTTATCTAAAAGACGTTTTATGGGTACAGATGACCCTGGCTCAGGCCCCTTCACGGTGCATCAGCTGCGTCGATGCCATGGTCCCAGCACTGCAAAATGCGCCCTCCAGAGTGTGTAAGACAGGCTAGAAGGCGATAGAGGACGAGTACAATGTTAAACGCGTTTCGCTAGGGTGAGCTTGTCGCTGGCAGCGCGGGTGAGAGCAATGAAGATGAAAAAACACCATACGTCATTCCCTCCTATACTGTTCCCGTGCACGTCTGACCGAAGAGGAGGGGACTTAGTATAGTTTTCGCGACCCATTCACCTTGCACGATGGTACGCTACGCATATGGTCTTTGGAGGTGAGTATTTACTTCAGTGTCTTCGAAGGAGCCCCATGACACCAATTTGTTGGTTGTGTGACTCACATCATTTACCCACACTAAATTCTTTAATTATGGCGATTTCTAGCCAGTTTTTATTCTAATCTTTTTAATCTTTCTAGGTGTTACAAGAACAACAACATCATCCCATTACTGCAGCATTTGTTGTTATAGGTATTCTGGAAGATTGCGATCAGTACCTGAACCTGCGGATTCGCGATGCACTCATTTTACGCGCACGACGAGAAGAGCAAGTGGACGAGTTTTTCGTCCGTGGACGACATCTGAGGTTATTTTCTTTAGTCGTCACTTCAGATGACAATACCAGCACGAACCTAAACGTACCGTGCCGCACTTCGGAGACAAGGGAGGCGGACAAGGCAATCGTAATCTGCCGCGTTGTCGCGAGCGGCGTTCCGTAGGGCGTTACGCGGCAAGCCCTCAATGTCTACAAGTCCCTTCAGTTGGAGCAGCAAACTCGTGTAAAGTGGAGATAAGACTAACGGTTGAGCCGGAAGTTTTCCTATCCCATTGAGGCTCAGATTCAAATGACCGGGCAAACCTACATGTCTGTTGGGCGCGGCGCCGCTCCGCCCACCCACCCAGCATGTTACGATTCGTCATAGACCGAGGAGGCGGGGGCCTTTCATTCCTTTGAGTCTGACCTGCTATTGTAGAGCCTGTATGAGAGCAGAAAAGCTGATTATGACCTCAAACTCGTTACATGCACAAAGTAAACTATGATTTTTTTCTTACAATACTCGAAAGGAGTGGAATGCATGACAAGGGATGTCCCCCACCTACACCGCCCACACTAACGAATTGTTGTAGCAGAATTTCATTTGACTTCAGAACATAAATCATTCAGGTACATCCATCTAGCTCATTATGTCGATGTATGTGAAGCGATTCGAAAAAACTGTTCAAAGTCTCGGGAACAAAATCATCGCCAACAAACGAGGGGGCGGACGATTAATGCTAAAAATCTCAGCGATCACAGAACCAAGAAGACTGTTCGTTAAGCAAGCTTGTACATTCCGAATAAAAAATTGTTCAACGTAATAATATCAATAACAAGTAAATCCAACAAGTAGGGTAAAACTCAACAACATAATTTACATGATAGAAGTTAGTAAATTCAACAATGTGATAACAATTCTATAACAACTGTGACACCTCCCATTAACAACGTAATTCTCATCTGTACATCCAAGTTCAAATCGAATTTGTTTGTACTGTCATTTCAAACCACTGCCGAATCGATTCAGCTAGCATTGAGGGAAGCTGGGTGACAGTTTTCACAATGGCGTAGAATGGGAACGGGAACGTCGTCAGGTACGGCGTAAGCACCTGGAAGTTACCATTAGACACTGCTAGGGAGGGAGGTAAGCAGAAGACACCGGTATGTTCCGGTGTCTTCTGCCTAGCAGTGGTGTTAAATGAACGACCTACCACATCTCCGTCTTTGAAAGAAGCCACAGAAAGATCGCATATAGATTTGAGACCCGAATCGAGAATGACGAATAGTACAGTCACGCCTTGCAAAGAAGCCAGAGCAGTTTTGACCTTGATAATAAAAACGATTGAAAGGGGTCGATGAGCTGATGACGCAGTCAATCAAGACAATACCTTTTCGGCTCCTTGTGACAAGGCTCCCCTTCCATCAGATATGATTATGAGCAGTTGCTCGCTAGTCGGCGTTCGCACATCACTAAGCAATTGACGTGAGCGGTTGAGAAGGAGCAGGAGATCCGTGGATGATTGGGTGAAAGACAGCTAGAAGCGTGAAAAATCTAAGAGTACTGTTAAAATTTATCGGAAAGAAAGTACCTTCTGAAGCAATTCTGGGCCTGGCATCATATGATCACCGAACGCATTGATGATTTTTACTTCACTTCCAAATGAGCATACAGATACATCTCC